CCAGCAGTGTCTACACAGTCTCCAACAATGTCTGCACGGTCTCAGCAGTGTCCTGCACAGTGTTCAGCAGTGTCCTACACAGTGTCAGCAGTGTCTCCAGTGTTCAGCAGTGTCCTACACAGTGTTCAACAGTGTCCTACACAGTCTCCAACAGTGTCCTACACAGTCTCCAACAGTGTCTCACAGTCTCCAACAGTGTCTACAGTGTTCAGCAGTGTCCTACAGTGTTCAGCAGTGTCTGTCTGCAGTGTGTGTCTACACAGTGTTCAGCAGTGTCTCAGTCTCAACAGTGTCTACAGGTGTTCAGCAGTGTCCTACACAGTCTCAACGGTGTCCTACAGTCTCCAACAGTGTCCCTGCAGTCTCCAGCATTTTTCTACACAGTCTCAGCAGTGTCTACACAGTGTTCAGCAGTGTCCTACACAGTCTCCAGCGTCTCTACACAGTGTTCCAGCAGTGTCCTACACAGTGTACAGCAGTGTCCTGCACAGTGTTCAGCGGTGTCCATCCACAGTGTTCAGCAGTGTCCTACACAGTGTCTCCAACAGTGTCCTGCAGTCTCCAGCAGTGTCTACACAGTCTCCAGCCAGTGTCTACACAGTGTTCAGCAGTGTCTACACAGTGTTCAGCAGTGTCTACACAGTGTTCAGCAGTGTCTACACAGTGTCCAGCAGTGTCCTACACAGTGTTCAGCAGTGTCCTACACAGTGTTCAGCAGTGTCCTACACAGTGTTCAACAGTGTCTGCAGTGTTCAACAGTGTCTACACCAGTCTCCAGCAGTGTCCTACACAGTGTCAACAGTGTCTACACAGTGTTCAGCAGTGTCTTACAGTCTCCAACAGTGTCACACAGTCTCCAACAGTGTCCTACACAGTGTTCAGCAGTGTCTACACAGTGTTCAACAGTGTCCTACACAGTCTCAACAGTGTCCTACACAGTCTCCAACAGTGTCCTACAGTCTCCAACAGTGTCTACAGTCTCCAGCAGTGTCCTACACAGTCTCCAGCAGTGTCCTACACGGTCTCAACAGTGTCCTACACAGTCTCCAACAGTGTCCTACACAGTCTCCAGCAGTGTCTACACAGTCTCCAATAGTGTCCTACGGTCTCCAATGAGTGTCCTGCACAGTCTCCAGCAGTGTCTACACAGTGTCCAGCAGTGTCCTGCACAGTGTTCAGCAGTGTCCTACAGTGTCCAGCAGTGTCACCGCAGTGTTCAGCAGTGTCTACACAGTGTCAGCAGTGTCCTACACAGTGTTCAACAGTGTCCTGCACAGTCTTCAGCAGTGTCTACACAGTGTTCAGCAGTGTCCTACACGGTGTTCAGCAGTGTCTACACAGTCTCAACAGTGTCCTACACAGTCCAACAGTGTCTACACAGTGTTCAGCAGTGTACACAGTCTCCAACAGTGTCCACAGTCTCCAACAGTGTCCTACACAGTGTTCAGCAGTGTTCTACAGTGTCAGCAGTGTCCACACAGTTTCAGCAGTGTCTACACAGTGTTCAACAGTGTCCTCACAGTGTCAGCAGTGTCCTACACAGTATCAGCAGTGTCTATACGGTGTCCATCAGTGTCCTACGGTCTCCAGCAGTGTCCTATACAGTGTCCATCAGTGTCCTACACAGTATCCAACAGTGTCCTATACAGTGTCCATCAGTGTCCTACACAGTATCCAACAGTGTCCTACACAGTATCCAACAGTGTCCTACACAGTATCCAACAGTGTCCTATACAGTATCCAACAGTGTCCTATACAGTGTCCATCTGTGTCCTACACAGTATCCAACAGTGTCCTATACAGTATCCAACAGTGTCCTATACAGTGTCCATCTGTGTCCTACACAGTATCCAACAGTGTCCTACACAGTGTCCAGCAGTGTCCTACACAGTATCCAACAGTGTCCTATACAGTCTCCAACAGTGCCCTACACAGTCTCCAACAGTGTCCTACACAGTCTCCAACAGTGTCCTACACAGTCTCCAACAGTGCCCTACACAGTCTCCAACAGTGCCCTACACAGTCTCCAACAGTGCCCTACACAGTCTCCAACAGTGTCCTACACAGTCTCCAATAGTGTCCTACACAGTCTCCAACAGTGTCCTACACAGTATCCAACAGTGTCCTACACAGTCTCCAACAGTGCCCTACACAGTCTCAGCAGTGTCTACACAGTCTCCAATGAGTGTCTACACAGTCTCCAGCAGTGTCCTACTGAGTATCCAGCAGTGTCTCACAGTCTCAACAGTGCCTACACAGTCTCCAACAGTGGTACAGTCTCCAACAGTATACCACACGGTCTCCAATAGTGTCCTACACGGTCTCCAACAGTGTCCTACACAGTCTCCAACAGTGCCCTACACAGTCTCCAGCAGTGCCCTACACAGTCTCAACAGTGTCTACACAGTCTCCAATAGTGTCTACACAGTCTCAACAGTGTCTATACGGTCTCAACAGTGCCCTACGCGATTCTCCAGCAGTGCCTACAGTCTCCAGCAGTGTCTCACACAGTCTCCAACGGTGCCTACAGTCTCCAGCAGTGCCTACACAGTCTTGGTGCCTACAGTCTCCAACAGTGCCCCTACGGTCTCAACGGTGCTTCACAGTCTCCAACAGTGCCCTACAGTCTCAGCAGTGCCCTGCAGTCTCCAACAGTGCCCTACACAGTCTCCACCCAGTGTCCTACCACGGTCTCCAACGGTGTCCTGCACAGTCCCAACAGTGCCCTACACAGTCTCAGCAGTGTCCTACAGTCTCCAACAGTGCCCTACACAGTCTCAACAGTGCCTACACGGTCTCCAGCAGTGCCTACACGGTCTCTCCAACAGTGCCCTACACAGTCTCCAGCAGTGTCTGCAGTCTCCCAACATTGCCCTCCCACGGTCTCCAGCAGTGCCTACAGTCTCCCAACGGTGTCCTGCAGTCTCCAGCAGTGCCCTGCAGTCTCCAGCAGTGCCCTACACAGTCTCCAACAGTGTCCTACACAGTCTCAACAGTGCCCACAGTCCAACAGTGTCCTACACAGTGTCCAACAGTGTCCTACACAGTGTTCAACAGTGTCCTACACAGTGTTCAACAGTGTCCTACACAGTGTTCAACAGTGTCCTACACAGTCTCCAACAGTGTCCTACACAGTGTTCAACAGTGTCCTACACAGTGTTCAACAGTGTCCTACACAGTCTCCAACAGTGTCCTACACAGTCTCCAACAGTGTCCTACACAGTCTCCAACAGTGCCCTACACAGTCTCCAACAGTGTCCTACACAGTCTCCTGGTGTCTCACAGTCTCCAACAGTGCCCTACACGGTCTCCACCAGTGTCTGGTCTCAACAGTGTCCTACGGTCTCAACAGTGTCTATACAGTCTCAGCGGTGCCCCTACACAGTCTCAACAGTGCCTACACAGTCTCCACCAGTGTCCTACGTGCCAACAGTGTCCACAGTCTCCAGCAGGTGTCCTACACAGTGTACAGCAGTGTCCTATACAGTCTCAACAGTGCTTACACAGTCTCAACCAGTGCCCTACACAGTCTCCAACAGTGCCCTACACAGTCTCCACCAGTGTCCTACACAGTCTCCAACAGTGTCCTACACAGTCTCCAACAGTGTCCTATACAGTCTCCAACAGTGCCCTACACAGTCTCCAACAGTGCCCTACACAGTCTCCACCAGTGTCCTACACAGTCTCCAACAGTGTCCTACACAGTCTCCAACAGTGTCCTACACAGTCTCCAACAGTGTCCTACACAGTGTTCAACAGTGTCCTACACAGTGTCCAACAGTGTCCTACACAGTGTACAACAGTGTCCTATACAGTCTCCAACAGTGCCCTACACAGTCTCCAACAGTGCCCTACACAGTCTCCAACAGTGCCCTACACAGTCTCCACCAGTGTCCTACACAGTCTCCAACAGTGCCCTACACAGTCTCCAACAGTGTCCTACACAGTCTCCAACAGTGCCCTACACAGTCTCCAACAGTGTCCTACACAGTCTTCAACAGTGTCCTACACAGTGTTCAACAGTGTCCTACACAGTGTCCAACAGTGTCCTACACAGTGTTCAACAGTGTCCTACACAGTGTCCAACAGTGTCCTACACAGTGTCCAACAGTGTCCTACACAGTGTTCAACAGTGTCCTACACAGTGTTCACAACAGCAACCCACACAGTCTCCAACAGTGTCCTACACAGTGTTCAACAGTGTCCTACACAGTGTTCAACAGTGTCCCACACAGTCTCCAACAGTGTCCCACACAGTTCCAACAGTGTCCACACAGTCTCCAACAGTGCCCCACACAGTCTCCAACAGTGTCCTGCCAGTCTCCAAATAGTGTCCCACACAGTGTTCTAACAGTGTCCTACACAGTGTCCAACAGTGTCCTACACAGTGTTCAACAGTGTCCTACACAGTGTCCAACAGTGTCCTACACAGTGTTCAACAGTGTCCTACACAGTGTCCAACAGTGTCCTACACAGTGTTCAACAGTGTCCTACACAGTGTACAACAGTGTCCTACACAGTGTTCAACAGTGTCCTACACAGTGTTCAACAGTGTCCTACACAGTGTTCAACAGTGTCCTACACAGTGTCCAACAGTGTCCTACACAGTGTCCAATAGTGTTTTACACAGTCTCCAACAGTGTCCTACACAGTCTCCAACAGTGTCCTGCGACACAGTATCCAACAGTGTCCTATACAATGTCCAACAGTGTCCTACACAGTCTCCAACAGTGTCCTATACAGTGTCCAACAGTGCCCTACTCAGTGTCCTACCAAATATCCAACAGTGTCATACACAGTGTCCAACCGTCTCCTACACAGTGTCATATACAGTATCCAACAAAGCCGTACACAGTATCCATCAGTGTCCTACAGTGTCCAACACTGTCCTATACAGATACAGAAACCAACACTGTCCTACACAGTGTCCAACACCGCCCTACACTGTGTCCAACAGTAGGCACTGTGTCCAAAACCGTCCTATACAGTATCCAACAGTATGCACAGTGTTCAACAGTGTCCTACAGTAGGCACAGTGTCCAACACCGTCCTACACAGTGTCCAACAGTAGGCACAGTGTCCTACACAGTGTCCAACAGTAGGCACAGTGTTCAACAGTGTCCTACACAGTGTTCAGTAGTGTCCTACACAGTGTTCAACGGAGTCCTCCACAGTGTCTTACAAAGTGTCCAACAGTGTCCATCCCAGTGTTCAAAAGTGGTCTACACAGTGTCCAACCGTGTCCTACACAGTGTTCAACAGTGTCCTAAGTGTCCAACAGTGTCCTGCACAGTTTTCAACAGTGTCCTACACAGTGTCCAACAGCGTCCTACACAGTATCCAACAGTGTTCTACACAGTGTTCAAAAGTGTCCTACACAATGTCCAACAGTGTCCTACACAGTGTCCAACAGTGTCCTACACAGTGTCCAACAGTGTCCTACACATTGTCCAATAGTGCCCTAGACACTGCGCTACACAGTGTCCTACACACTGCCCTACAAAGTGTCCTATACAGTGTTCTACACAGTGCTCGACACAGTGTCCTACGCAGTGTCGTACACAGTGCCCTACGCAGTAGGGTGTCATACGGAGGCGAATTTTTTTTTTTGAGTTTGAAAAATCGGCCCATGGTATTAATGATGTAGTTCTATGTGCAGAATCATGTGATATCTTCAGATTTGAAAAGTTTTCATTTTTTGCTAGGTAAATTTTAACTTGAAATCTTATGAAAATTCAGTATTCCCACCCTTTTACCAACACCACTAAATAGCTTATTTAAAGTAAAGTAAATGTATCAGGTTAATTTGTTAGGATGAAAATGATCCAGAATAGTGAAACGAATGATCTTGACACATTTATTAAATTTAATATTCCTTTAGAAAACAAAATCATCAAATACAAAAACCGGTTTTACTACTACGACCCGGTGTTGTTGCACACCATAGAGAACATGTCTTTCTTGCTTCTGTTTCTACTCATCACCTCCCTGCTGACCACCTGAGCTCGGATGTAGCCTTCCCTCCTCTCCTGGCTGTACACGTGACTGCTGGCCTCGCTCACTTGCTGCACACAACGCTCTATACTCTGGGTGTGCGAGGGCCAGGCAGGGACATGCTTGGGGTTGTCCAGGAAAGCTCTGACTTGAACATTGGTGAGGCTGCAGGTAAGAGGGGGCTCACTGCCAGCCTGGATGTTATCCAGATCTGTAAGAGATCAGTGGTCTTGCACCTGAACGGCTTCAGGAAATCTTCCTGACCCTGAAAATCGTCCTGCTTCAATTAATCATACCCAAACCCTCTCATAAGTCTCCTGTCCAAAATCTTTTGGCTTCCCTCTTCTCCCTCCTCATCCTTACTGCAAGCATTGTCTGCAGCTTGCCTCCAGAATGAAGCATACCAGGAAGATCTCCTCACAGTCTGCTCCTAATCTGAACAACCTTCCTTGGCACAGCTCTCCAGGGCTCAAGCTGGAAGAACATGCCTCAGACTGGAGACATGATGACTTGACCCGGTGTTGAACCAGTTTGGCAAGTAGACACTCACGATGAATTGAACCAATAAGTCTCAGGTTGTGAAGCTGGTTCCTTTCAGTTTATGATGGGCGACAAAATTCTGCAGAACCTGAGAGCGTTGTGAAACCACCTAGAATGTGTGAGACTGATTTCTCTGCGGGTAAACCAAGTCTGTCAGGCTGTGACCCCAGTTTTGATGGCACTGCCGTCATGTAACCACCAATGCTGGTCAGTACTCAGATCGTCAATGACTTGTATGTGCAAGCTCAACAGAGTGGAGAGCCAACTGCAGTTTTTCAAAAGCTCAGTTTGTTTCCATGGGCAGTGCACTCTTTGGGCATCATTCTTTTATGGATGGGCAGCAAATTATCCGTCTTCCTCCTTTCTTCACCCAGCCCCCCTTGCCCACCCCTGTGTTCGTGTTGGTGCTGTCGCTTCCAATAGCCTGCAGGAGTCTGGTCTCTGCATTCTCTCTCTGAAACCCAGTTCACAATGTTATCTGCCACTATCTCATGATTTCTGATGTGTCATCTTTCTCTGGGTGAAATGCCACAAGCTACTTCCTCCTGGTTCACTGCAGCAGGGTAGTGTTCTCCTTCACGCAAGCAAACAACGTCAGAATCTCCAGCTTTCATGGTTTGCCCAGTGTCATCCTTCTCCCATCAAGAACAAACAAATTGAATTCCATTTTCTCTTATCCCCTTATCAAACTCACTCTTCTACGTTACTGATTTCTCCTGGCTCTCCTTACTTTGTTATGATCTGCTCACCAGGTGAGCATCATCAGGTATTGTTATCAAGCCACCATCCAATCCAACGCTGTTGCTGTCTCTCTGCAATTTCTCTGAGACCAGTGTGGTATGTATGCTGGCAAGCTTCTCAGAGATATCTTTCCTATTTCAAGAATCTTATACATAGAGTTTGAATCGTATTTTTCTGGGTTGGGAACCATCACCATTCTCCTGGTCGCTTCTCCAGATCCTTCATGGGAAGTCATTAAACTCTGGATCAGCTTGACTCCAATCATCGGCCTTTTACCTCACCCTGGGCCTTCTCCAAGTCTCTTTTCACTCAAACAACTCTTCTCCTCTTCTGTCTACTCTTGGCGGCCTCCTGTCCTTGGACTCCGGAATATCTTGGCTAGAAATCATGAGGAAACCCTATACTGCAGTCTTCTCTCTCTCTGTGCTTTGACAAATGCCAGTTTCGTCCACAGGAATCTTCAGTTCACGCTTGCAAATACAGGAGATATGGGCCTCGAATTTACAGTCACGTCGCAAACTCAGAACCAGAAGAACAATTGGCTTGCTTGCAAATGGTATGTCAAATAACTGGTCAGTTGCTTGTGCTTCATCATAACAAGTTTTTCACTCTCCCAAGAGAAGATATCTCTTGCCTTTTCCCCAACTGGCTAGCAGTCTCTCCACTAATCTTCTTCACAACGGTATGACTGGAGGCAGACAGGCGTTAGCCAGGGTGTACTGTGCCAAGACAGCTTTGGTCATATCACTGGCAATGTCTTTGTTTTATAATAAGTTCTTTGGTTCTTTTCACTGATTTGCTGAGTTAAAACACCGTATCAAAGCATCTCCAATATGGCTTATCCACGACTTCAGGAGCTCTCTCCCAGACCCAAGATAATTGACTGAGATGGCTGGTTTGGGTTCCTCGTCCTGACACAAGCAGCCATCATAAATAGTATCAACTTATAAATGCATCAGAATCTGAAGCAGAAAAAAAAAATATTGTTAGTTGAGTTTGTTAAGAAATGAAGTCAGAAAGCAATGTTCACTATTTAATTGTAATGCACTAATGCAGCTGTACGTTGAATTTTCGATAAATTTCGCTAAAATTTTACCTAGCAAAAGGTTGCAAAAATAACCCAAAAGAACTGAAATTATTTTCTGTTTATATACACTAAAATCTACCAAAAAAGTGATGGGCCGTAGTTTTAGCTGATCTTCCTTCCTATGACACACCCTAATACGCAGTGTCCTGCACAGTGCCATACGCAGTGTCCAACAGTCTCCTACTGATTTCTACACAGTGTCTAATTGTGCCCTACACAGTGCTCTACACAGTGTCCTACAAAGTGTCCCACACAGTGTCCTATACATTGTCCAACACTTTCCTACACAGTGCCCTACACAGTGTCCTATTCAGTGTCCATCAGTGTCCTACAGTGTCTAGTAGTGTGATACACAGTGTCTCGTAGTGTCTATGCAGTGTCAACACAGTGTCTATATGCCTAAAACCTCCTACACACCCTTACACTTCCCTACACACTACCCTTGCCATTACCCTACTCACTGCCCTACACACTACCCTACACAGTACCCTGCACACTGCCCTACGCACTGCCTACGCACCGCCCTACACACTGCCCTACACAGTACCCTACACAGTACCATACACAGTACCCTGCACTGCCCTACACACTACTATGCAGTGCCCTACACACTGCCTTCACACTGCCTACACGGTGCCATACACAGTACCCTGCACACTGCCCTGCACACTACCATACACAGGTGCCCGGCACACTGTCCTACACATTACCATACACAGTACCCTGCACACTGCCCTACACTACCATGCACAGTTCCTGTGCACTGCCCTACACACTACCCTACACAGTACCCTACACAGTCCCTGCACACACTGCCCTACACACTGCCCTACGCACCGCCCTACACACTGCCTACACAGTGCCCTACACAGTGCCATACACAGTGCCCTGCACACTGCCCTACACACTACTATGCACAGTGCCCTACACACTGCCATACACTGCCCTACACAGTGCCATACACACGTGCCCTGCACACTTGCCCCTACACACTACCATACACAGTGCCCGGCACACTGTCCCACACATTACCATACACAGTACCCTGCACACTGCCCTACACTCTACACACAGTGCCCTGTACACTGCCTACTACTACACAGTGCCCTGCACGGTGCCCTGCACACTGCCCTACACTGCTACACGGTGCCCTACACACTGCCATACACACTGCCCTACACACAGTGCACACACAGTGCCCTGCACACTGCCCTACACACTGCCTACAGTGCCACTTGCTGTCCTGCACATTACCATACACAGTGCCCTGCACTGCCCTACACACTGCCATACAAGTGCCCTGTTGCCCTACACCTACCCTACACAGTGCCCTACAGTGCCCTGCCTGCCTACACACTACCATACACGGTACCCTGCCGCCACACTGCCCTACACAGTGCCCTGTGCACTGCCTACACACTACCCTGCAGTGCCTACATTGCCCTGCACTGCCCTACACACTACCATCACGGTGCCCTGCACTGCCCTACACTGCCCTACACAGTGTCCAGCAGTGACCACACACTGCCCGACACACACCCTACACGGTTACCCTGTACACTGCCACCACACACTGCCCTACACACTGCCCTACAGTCCCTGCACTGCCCTACACACCCTACACGGTACCTGTACACTGCCTACACACTGCCTACACAGTCCCTGCAGTGCCTGCACACTGCCTACCTACATACACAGTGCCCTGCACTGCCCTACACTGCCCTGCAGTGTCCACGTGACCTACACACTGCCCGACACACTACCCTACACAGTACCCTGTACACTGCCATACACACTGCCCTACACACTGCCCTACCGTACCCTGTACCTGCCTACACACTCCCTACACGGTGTCCAGCAGTGACCTACACTGCCCGACACACTACCATACACTGTACCTGCACTGCCCCACACTGCCCTACACACTGCCTCACAGTGCCCTGTACTGCCCTACACACTACCCCTACACAGTGTCAACAGTGACCTACACACTGCCGACACACCTACACAGTTCCCACATGCACTGCCATACACCTGCCCTACACACCTACAGTGCCCTGTGCACTGCCCTACACTACCCCTACACAGTGTCAACAGTGACCTACACACACTGCCGACACACTCACCTACACAGTGCCCTGTGCACTGCCATACACACTGCCCTACACACCTACACAGTGCCTGTGCACTGCCTACACACTACCTACAGTGTCCAGCAGTGACCTACACACTGCCCGACACTACCTACAGTACCCTGTACACTGCCATACCTGCCCTACACTGCCCTACACAGTGTCAACAGCGACCTACACACCGCCCTACACACCGCCCTACACACTGCCTACACACCGCCCTACACTGCCCCAACGCCCTACACACGCCCTACACACCGCCCTACACACCGCCTACACGACCCGCACACTGCCTACCACGCCCTACACACCGCCCTACACACTGCCTACAACGCCCTACACATTGCCACTGCACCTGCCCTACACACTACCACACAGTCGGCAGTGACCACACCGCCTACACACCACGCCCTACACACCGCCCTACACACCCGCCCTGCACCGCCTGCACGCCAGCCCTGTTGTCCCTGCCTGGTCCTGCCTGGGCCTGCATGGCCCACTTGGCCCTGCTTGACATCCTCTTGGTCCTGGGCCTGCATGGCGTGCCTGTCCTCTTGCTGTTGCCCTGCATAGCCCTGTGCTGCATGGCCCTCATGCTGTGTGGTCTCTTGTCCCTCTTGTAGCCCTCTTGCTGTCCTCTTGTGCTCTGTAGTATTCTTGTGCTGTGTGTCTCTTGTATAGTCCTCTGCATCCTCTTGGTCCTCTTTGGCCTGTGCTCCTGTTGTCTCTTGTCCTCTTGTTGTGCATGGCCATGTCCTGTGTCATCTCTGTCCTGCTGCATGTCTCTTGCGCCCCTCTTGCATGGCCCTCTTGCATAGCCTCTGCACTTGTCTCTGCATGGCCCTGCACCGCCTACACACCGCCCTACACACCGCCTACACCGCCCTACTGACGCCCTACACACGCCTACTGCCGCCCTACACCCGCCCATACACACCGCCCTACACCGCCCTACACCGCCTACACCTGCCTACACCGCCCTACTTACGCCTACCACCGCCTACACACCCGCCCTACCTGCACCC